CGCAAATATTTTTTATCCTGCTAATATAATGGCACGAGAAGTTTGCTAATATGTACAACTGCCGTATTTAACTCGTATAAAAATTATAATCAAAAAATTTAAAAAAATTATTGTGTCACGAATTTTTCCTTCTCATGCAAGTCTTCTAAAAATGAACAACGCCTTTAAAATAAGTGACGATTATGACCGACGTTGAACGAAGTTTTAACGAATCAACCAATGGCGGCAAATTCGCTCCGGTTGATATGTTTCATAAACACTCAAATATAATGTGAAGTATGTTCAATACACAACAGCTGAAAAATAACGCAATAGATGTCACAATATAAAAACCTCATTTAATGTAGAAAAATTCTAATCTTAAAAGCATAGCAATACCTTTTTACTTTAACTTCATTCTTTCTTCCTTTTCTCACTTATACACAATTTTAATTTACATTAACTGGATTCCCTAAAGGTGCGTTTTAGTGAATTTAAGTCGCACGCTTATGCTTTCGATGTTTCCCATTAAAAAGGTTATATTGTTTCCACACATAGTAGCAGATGCTAACTTCTGCAATAAATTTATATTGAAAGCAAGATATATATAAAAATGTGCAACACAAACAAAATATTATTTTTTATTTTATTAAAATACTTTTTATATATATCAATAATAATATAATTTTTATATACATATATCAATAACAACTAAAACATTACTGATTTTAGTATACCTATTTTTATTTGTATTCAATTAGTAAATTTCATATAAATTTTATATATAAAAAAATCATGCTTTAATTTACTCATTGAATTTTAATTAATATATCTAATGAGTTTTCCAACAACAACAAATAAATAAATAATAAATCTAGTGATTTAACTCGTTTGTAAAGAAACTGCCAATGCGATTATTACAATTCATATCAAAGTGAAAGCCATTTATAATGAAATCAATAGCACGCTTATATTATTGCATATAAATTTTTCATTTTTATCTCGATAACTATGTTATATAGGATTAAATCGATTTTGCAAAATAAAAACGTATTTAAATTTAAAAACATTCTTAGGTAGTATTTCCTGCAAAATTTTAATAGTGCAATCACAAGTTCCAGTTTAGTTAACTCTATAAAGATAGATATGGAGTCAATTCAAGAACAATTCTAAACAAAAGTAAAAAAATTGGTAAATAAAATAAAGTAAATTATAAATTATAATTTAATATTTATAAATAAAAATCAATTATAGGCCTTTTCCTTTATAAACGTCGCAAAAGAACAAATAAAATAAGTACTACCTCGATGGCAACTCTGAACAAAATGGAAATTTTGTTACGCTTATGCAAAACACGTAATAAAATTTAAAGTTAAAATTTCGAAAATGAAATATAATTCTTTGCAATTATTGGTAAGAATATTTTTTTTACATGATTGTGAATAAAATATAAATTTTCATGCCTTTTAAAAGTAAAATAATATATAGAAAAAATAACGTATTTGTTACGAGCAATGACGACACGAAATACGAAAAATTAACGACATCATTCGTTGACAGTTAATTGCAAATTCCGTATGTACTTCCAAGAATCGTTCACAATAGACGAATTTTCAATCTTCACTACCATACGATTTGAGCTGCGGATTGGTTAAGTGATTTCAAAAAATTTGGACTATATAAACTAGCAGTGTTGTTGTTTCATCATATCTTTTATGTATGCTTACAAAAGAAAAGGCCTATTAATAATTTTGTCCTGAAATCAACAACAATTGAAATGTTTTTGACATTTTATGTACATAAAGGATTATGTTTACATGCAAATTAAAAGTGAAATTCAAATAATACAAAAATGCAAGCTAAATATTAATAAAAAATTATCAAAAATAATTATTAATTCCTATCAACACACTTTTTCAAAAAAAAGTATATACGTTATTTTCAACCATTTCCATCAATTCGATATCGGAGTTCTCAACATATACGTAGCAGTCAAATTTTATTAACATGTTCGTTTGGTCATAAAACTCGAGCAAAAAATTACAGATCAAGTGCAAATTCCGATTTGCTAATAAAAAAACGACATTAATAGTATAGAAAATAGATCTGGTAACCCTGTTAAATTTGAGTAATGACATGTTATCAGTACTAACATATTCTCCTCAATTTACATGTGTTTGGCATATTATTAAATTTCACATTGTCTTCAAAATTAACCGGAAATATGATAGAAAATCCAGACAAAGATAGTAGTTATTTACGAAAAGGTTTAAAAAAATTATTTGCAAAACATGACAAAAATCATTAATAGTTTAGTAATTAATAGTTAATAGAAAAGAGATCTGGTAACCCTGTTAAATTAGAGTAATGACATTTTATCAGTACTAACATATTCTTTTCAATTTAAATGTGTTTGGCATATTATTAAATTTCACATTGTCTTCAAAATTAACCGGTAATATGGTAGAAAATCCAGAAAAAGATAATAGTTATTTACGAAAAGGTTTAAAAAAATTATTTGCAAAACATGACAAAAATCAGAGCAGTCAAGGTAGTAAAAAAAAGAACTCGAATGTCGACAACGTGACAAAGCCAAAACAACAACAAAAAAACGTGAAGTTAAAAAATTTAGAAAATAACAGCCAAGAAACTTGTAAGTTAACTAGTGAAAACTTATTAAATGAAAACAAGAGCAAAAGCAAATTAAAGAATTTGTTGACCAACAAAAACAGTACCGCAAAGTTAAGTAACAATCTAAACTCAAAAGAACAAGTGGAAAGTACAATCCTTGATGGAAAAAAAATTTCAAACGGCAAAAATCAAAACAAAGTTCCACTTCCAAAGGTAAAAGAGAATACTTTATTGAATAAAAATTATTGGGAGAAATTAAAAAAAACAACAAAAAAAGATTTAACATTTAATTTGAAAGAGAATTCTGTGAATCCCAAATCTGAAGCGCCTATAAGTAATCCAAAAGGTCCAATTTCTACTAGCAAATTAAAAAAGAATAAAATAAATGTAAAGCGTAAAAAAATTTCCAAAAAAAGTGATAGAGTTTTGGAGGAGTCTAAATTGAAAGCCGATTCTGATTTAACTAAAGATCATTCTAAAAAGAAACAAAATGCAGGAGATGCTGTGCCAAATAATGTCAGCAAAAAGCGGAAGCTTAAGAAAAGAAAGCTTCATAAAGAAAATGCAATATTGTTGGAAGGCAAATTCGCTAGAAAACCTGTCAAAAATCGTAAAAGAAAGCGAACAAAATCCTATAGTCCTAATCTAGAGGAAATCAAAAAACCAAAGTGCACTGAGGTTTCATTATTACCACCTAGTACTGATGACAGCGAGTTTGACAGTTCAAGTAGTTGGGTGCCTAATAGCACCGAAGACGATGCAAGCTCAGTACTACACACTGATTCCGACTCCAACATTAGTTCTTTTTATACAAGTGACGACGACATCAGTGATTTGTCCTTTAACAGTGAAAGCTCAGAGTACTGCACACATTCAAGTAGTGACAGTTTAACATTTCTCGATGAAGATAGTTTAAATGATCCTGATTATCAACCTCCGGATGATATACAAATAATTAAGAAAGGTATTTTTGCTTTAGTTAATTTTAAAAAATCTGATTTATACTTTTAAAATTAATTTCAGGTATGGCAATTAGTCGAGTTTTAAAAGAAGATGAAGTCCAATTTGGGGAGGCGGACGAAATACAAATTGTGGAGCTTACGGAGGCTGTAAATGTAAAAAGTATTATTCAGCCCAAATCATGTCATATAAATGAATTAAAAAAGTTGAATATACAAAATGTAGAAACAGAAGCTTTAATTAATAATAATATTTCTATAACATCAGTCGAAATGAACATCGATGACGATTGTCCAGACTTGGTGCCTATATGTAATGACAGCAGCTTTGAATCGAGTCTTGGTGGAATTTCGTATAAAAGTAAAGCAGATAAGTGTAGTATCAGTTCAACAGGAACCAATTCAAAAAGCTATGATATAGAAGAGACTGAAGAAGAAGAATATGAAGTTGAGAATGAGTGTAAAGAAAGCTATGAGCATGAGCATATGTCTGAGGAATACTCAGGGGATGAAAATACATTTAAAAAGGACTCAGAAGATGAAGATACATATAAGCAAGACTCAGAGGGTGAAGAATGCTTTGAGGAGGATGAAATTTATGATGAGGACTGCGAATTCGAAGATATGTATGAAATAGAGACTGATGATGGATCGGGTATTTCATGTGAATCAGTAGAGCAGGAAGATGATTGTTCCGATGATTCCATGTCTTCAATTGATATCTTAACAAAGTATGTAAAAACGACTATAAAAAGAAATAAACCTGGGAAAGTAAATGTTGACATCATAGATGGATCAAACTGCAATATTATCAATTTTCCTTGCAATAATGACTCTGAAAGCGAAGATGTTGTGGAGATTAAACATTCATTTTCAAACAATATCAGTAGAAGAGAAGTAGAAAATTGCAAAATAGTGTTTATTCCTATAGTATCAGAACTTGAGTTACGCGATGAAACAACGGACAGCGAAAATGAACTGCAAGGAACTCCTGACATTGTATCGCTTTATGAAAACAAATCGTTTAACGAAAATGCAAAATCTTCCGTTAAGATATCAGTAAAAGCGAATAATTCTAAAAATTTGTCAGCACGAAATTCACGTTTAGTTAATACAACAAGGAAAGAAGTAGCGGAAATAGTTGAACCGAACTCTGACACAAGTTCATCGATAGATAACGACATGGTTTCAGTAGATTCGGAGCAAAATTCTGATGCAGCTGATGCTGAAAGTAACGATAGCAGAGATATAACAGAGGATCGCCTTGAAGCTGGAACAACTTGTACTATTGGTAATGACAGCAGAGAACTAGTAAATATGGATTCAGAAGATTTGGAGGAAAATTCTGACGCAGCTGATGCTGAAAGTAACGATAGCACAGATGTAACAGACGATTGTCTTGAAGTTAGAACAAATTCTACTACTAGTCAGGACAGTAGTAAACTAGTGAACATGGATTCAATAGATTTGGAGCAAAATTCTGATACAACTAATTCGCAAGGTAACGATAGCACAGATGTAACAGTGGGTCGTCTTAAATCTGTAACAAGTTGTACTATTGGTAATGACAGCAGAGAACTAGTAAATATGGATTCAGAAGATTTGGAGGAAAATTCTGACGCAGCTGATGCTGAAAGTAACGATAGCACAGATTTAACAGACGATTGTCTTGAAGTTAGAACAAATTCTACTGCTAGCCAGGACAGTAGTAAACTAGTGAACATGGATTCAATAGATTTGAAGCAAAATTCTGATACAACTGATTGTCAAGGTAACGACAACACAAATGTAACAGTGGATCGTCTTAAATCTGTAACAAGTTGTATTACTGGTACTGACAGCAAAGAACTAGTAAACTTAGACCTTAATACTGATACAAAACATATTTCAATCGATGTATTTGCCAGTAACAATCATTTGGATTCCACAGCATATGCTGAAGATTCAATTGTAGAACCGCAGCATTTAAATTCAGTTTTTTATCACTCTTTTATAACTAATCAGGTTTTGGTTCACTTAAAAGAGCCAATAAGCATTTATGGAACAGTGATATTGACGTCAGTAATTGGTTCAGTAAGCGTCTATGGACATACTCCTCAAAACGGCAAAGAATTTCCGATTTTTTCTCCTCGCGGCTGTAGTACTGTAGAGATAATACCAACTACAGTAAAAAATGTAGACGTTGTTTTGGAACTGAATAAACTCAAAGGCACTTTTATTTCCAGAGATTTAAAGACTATAGAAGAGGAATTTATCCAAAAGAAGGATGCTATTGTGCTTCTCAAATGTAATGAGAGAAGCAAGAAAGTTGTGCAGATTTTTAAGGATTGCATGAAGGAGAATGTTTTTCCCAAGTATAAGCAAATATATATTCAAGGAAGCACCTGCGAAAGCAATACTTTGCTAGAGTGCATCATTAATAAAAATAACGAAAAAGCTTTCAAGATACAGCCAGAGTGGAGCACATTGCCTTTAAAAGCCGAAACAAAAATTATGATCGTTGGCGGAAAATCTGTTGGGAAATCAACTTTAGTACGTTACATGATTAATAATCATTTAAATACACATAAGCGCATACTACTAATTGATTTAGACATTGGACAATCGGAGATGTTTTTGCCGCAAACGGTATCATGCTTTGTGATCGATGAGCCATTGCTAGGACCTGGCTTCTTTCAAAACAAGCAGCCTGCGAAGGCATACTTTGTGGGTCACTCAAGTATTTTAATTTGTAGTCATCGATATTTGAGCGCAGCAAAACAACTTATTGAGTATTGTCACAATAATGAAAAGTACTCAAAGTTACCTTGGGTTATCAATACAATGGGATACAACAAGGGCTGTGGTTTGGAACTGTTAGCCTTACTATGTCAATACTTAAAGCCAACTGACGTCGTGCAGATTCAGAGCAACAAAGAAATAAATAATTTTAACGAAATACTGAAACCCGACATTATGGCTGGGGCATTAAGGAAACCATACATTGGAGTTGAATTTATTTTGAATGAATCTTATATACCAATGTATAGTTTGCATATATTAAATACAGCAGTTGCGCAGGATAGTCGTTATCAAAAAGCCTGGGATATGAGTGCAAAGGACTTGCGATACGCAATGATTTTGTCAAGACTTAGTGTGGTGCTTTCCGAAAGTGGAGAAGGCTTAACATCTACTCCACCACTAAAGTAATATAAATTAAAGTTAATGCAAGTATTTACCTTAAAGTTATGTTTTTCTCTTACAGAGCCAAGTTAGCAGATGTTAAAATATTGAAACCATTTGTAAACGGTGTTGATCCACAAACACTTTTGAAGTCAATCGACACAAACCTAGTTTATTTATGTCGAGCTGAGGATGTTTTACCGCCAGAATGCTACGGTATAGGTAGGTTGAGATTTGGTTAACCCTTTAAGTCTTCACATATAACAATATTTCTCTTGTTTTGCAGGCATTGTTACCGGTGTCGATTATACATTGAATCTAATATATTTATTGCCTGCTCTGCCTTATGAAAATATGGAAAATGTCAACTGTATGGCGCTTAGTGATGTTCCAATACCAACGGCGCTTCTAAAGCAACAAAGTAAATACTCAGAACATGCTGCTCCACTACTGTACAGTGCAGTCGACACGAAGACTTTTAAGTCAGTTAAGCAAATTTATCATCGTTCGGCAGAATTTTTAACAGGAAATCGCAATAGTTTGTTGTAAATTCGTTGTACAAATAAATAAAAATTATTACACGTAAGATCTTCCTAAACACACAAGGTGCTTTCAATATCACAGAGAAAGAGTTTCTTATTGTTTTTTGTCTATTCAGTCATTTTTTGTCTATAATATTGGGTGATTTGTAGGGTGTTGACTTTAGGAAATTACAATAAAAAACCTCAGGTGTTTTGCCATAAACGTTTAATTTGTTTTAAGTAAATAAATTAATTTTTACTCAGAAAAAGTGCCCTCCAACGAGTGATGTTCTTTAGGAGAGTCTTTATTGTACTTATTATTGTTATTATATAAAATCTTTTCAGTACTTCATTTAAGTATAAGCTAAATGGTCAAATAAAACAATTGATTACATTAAAAGTTTACTTTTTTCATTCTATTATGATTATCATCAACAATCATCTTTAGGGAATTATTAAACTATATATAAAATAATAAAATAAACAACAATCACAATTGTACATAATTCTCTTGTGTTACTTGAGCCTGTGCAGTTATCTATACTTCTGTTATAGTTAGGTTTTATATTGTTGGGAATTTGCGAGATAGAGGAATTTACTTTGTTGATTTTAGTGGTGTTATATTTCTACATCACTAAGATCCGGTTTATGGTTAGAAATGATACAATTAGAACCCAGTGCTGGGTTAAGTTCTATAGAATTGCAGTTTTTAATACTATGTCACCACGTTTTAAGTTCATTTTTCGGAGTACCCACATCATTTTATAACATGTGGTACCCGTCACCTTTACATATAGTCACCTAAGTTGGAGTTTTCTATATTAAGAAGTTTTGTAAACAATACACTTTAGCCATTGCGTTGTGTTGTCTTATATAACAAGAATACAAATGTTTTTCAGAAAAGTGGTTCCATCAAATATTTTCAATGTGAAGAGTAATGAAACGTGACGATAGTTGGACGTACATACTAATAAATTAGTTAAGATCTTAATAAAATTATTTTTACAATAAAACGTATTTATTAGGTTTGTAAAATATTGAAACGAGCTGAGTTGATGTCAGTAAAGACCGGTCATGCGCTGATTTTCTAAATTGTGCTGAACACTTTTTACAAAATATTTGCTAAAACTTTCAATCAAGTAAATATCCTTACACACGTATTAAATAATTCAGTTACATTTAAAGACAAAAAATTTTATTTATATATTTAAAAATCTTTTAATTAAAAATGCTTAAAACATTTGTTTATATAATTGCACGTTTTAAATAAACCTAATGGGAAAGACAATGTTTTCCTAACAAAATTCGTCGCATTATTATTTTTCGTCCTCCTGGTGTAGACATGCGTTGCTCCCAACCATGAACATTAATACGTTTAACTTCACGTGGTTTTGGGAAATGGGTACGAACTTTCGCTTTAATGACGGCACGGTTGAAAACGTGAGCTTCTCTGGTGAACAATAATTGCGCTGTACTAATTGCAGACGCACTTACTCTATAAGTATAATTAAAATTATTATTTATTGAAATATAAACAAATTTTAATATAGATTTTATACCTTTGTAATAAATTAACGAACATTTTTGATATTTGTTTTGAAAAGTTACAAAAAAAAATTATAAACAGCTGTTTTAGGAGCTGCTGTTTTGAATATTGAATAAACAGGGATGTTACATAGTTTCAACTCATGCACATTGTAAAATGTTATATGGCGTTTACATTGGCCGAAAATGGCTCATTTTGGTCAAAAATCGAAAATGAGTATCGAATGGCTCATTCTTGCATATAAAATTTCAAGCACAAAATGAGCAATTTTCTCACATTCTGTATGAATGACGTTCGAATGCATTCCACATATGTTCCAAATGCAAAGGAATCTATTGAACATACCCTAAATGAAAGCTCTTCATGGCATTTTGACAGTTTGAAAAAGCTGCTTTGACATATTTACAAAAAAAGATAAACAAATGTTTGGTGGTTGCATTTTCTTTAAAACGATGCACCAATTTTTGGAACTTCTACTTCCCAAAAATAAATAAATCGAATCTAGAAACAAGTTTTCAGTTTATATTGTAAGGTTTGAAGGTATATTTAACCTTCCTGTAACATTTTTTTGGCACAGAAATGAAATGAAATGAGAAAAAATGAAATACAACGAATGTAAACACTTTCAAATGACTCATCCAAAATGAGCCATTTTCGGCCAATGTAAACGCCGTATTAGCTTCATAATCTATGGTCATAAGTCTCTTATCATGTTTTCACTGCAGCTAAAACTATTTATGTTATTTCAATTAAAATTTGGTGGTTTCCGTTGGCATAAGTTAATTTATGCATATGAAATAGTTTTATTGTCAGAAAGTTCTGTAAAAGTTTAAGGAGAGGTGTTATTGGTTTACATATTAATTATATGCAGCTGATATATAGTGTTGTATTGATGGTAGAAATCAATAATTTTAGCATGAAATATGCAGTTAATGCTAACAAATTAATATATGTTTATGAAATTGATTACAACATAAAATAAAAGTTGTTTTTGAAAAGAAAAAACTTTGTTATATACTGGTACAAATTTTTTTACCACTGACTTTTTGAATTTTAAAAATTAAACATATAATTGATATAATAAGTCATAATAAATTCATCATTTGCATATTTTAATAATTTAAACGAAGATTTTATTAAATATTTATACTAAAGTGTATCTAAAACACTTTAATTTCGCTAAAATCTTAATTTCCTTTTCGTTTCAGCAAAAAATTTTGATTTCATTAAAAAAATAAATTTTGAAAACACTGCAAATTTTCGAAGTAGTGTAAATTTTGAAAGTAGTGTTAATTTATAAATTTGAATAAACAGAAAAAACTGTAACTGTTATTAATTTAAAATAGAGTGAAAAATAATAATCCACATACTTGAAATCTATGCTAACAAAACTATTGAATGCCATCCTTTATAGTTATAATAATCAACTATTAAGATTTCCCAGATACAAATGGTGTGGAGCATGTAATTTTCAACAAAAAATATTTGATTTCCTTAATTTGGGGCAGTACGAACACTTTTCAAGTTAATCTAATTTGATTAAACGAAATTAAGAAAATTTGGCTTTCTAATACGGCGTTTACATTGGCCGAAAATGGCTCATTTTGAATGAGCCATTTGAAAGTGTTTACATTCGTTCTATTTCATTTGTTCTCATTTCAACAGCTGATTTTTCAACTTGCATGTTGATTTGATTTTTGGCCTGTGCCAAAAAAATGTTGCATGAAGGTTAAATATGCCTTCAAACCTTACATAAGAAACTTAAAACATATTTTTAACTTCGATTAATTACTTTTTGGGAAGTAAAAGTTCTAAAAAGCAGTGCATCGTTTTCAAGAAAATGCAACCACCAAACATTTGTTTACCTTTTTTTGTAAATATGTTAAAAACAGCTTTTTCAAACTGTCAAAATGCCATGAAGAGCTTTTATTTAGGGTATGTTCAATGGATTCCTTTGCATTTGGAACGTATGTGGAATGCATTCGAACGTCATTCATACAGAATGTGAGAAAATTGCTCATTTTTGTGCTTGAAATTTTATATGCAAGAATGAGCCATTCGATACTCATTTTCGATTTTTGACCAAAATGAGCCATTTTCGGCCAATGTAAACGCCGTATAAACATAGTCTTGGTACAAAATATTTAGTTTTAGGCCGTGTGCGAGTTCGAGTAAATTGAGGTAAAGTAAATTGAAATTTCCTAGGGATTTTTTGCATTACACTTATGTAAATATTTATTTATTGCATTTATTTATTATTTTTGGTTACAAGTTTTCAAATTTATTTATATATTAAACATTTTATAAAATTATCACAATGGTAATACCTGATTTACCTAATTTTTATCTAATTTACCCTAATCGAAATTCTGGTAACTACCAACATTCGCTGCCATACGGACATAATTTACTATTTCTCTCAATTTACCATCAATTTACTTGAACTCACACATGGCCTTAGTTTTACTGTCTTATTATAAACGCAGTTACTTGAGTTTCTTGCACTGAACGTACCTATAGTGGTAATTTTCGTTGAACACATCCGACCATACACAAACTTGTTCTCTCTCAAGAAGAGATAAATATTGAGTTGCGTTGCAGCTGTCATTCAACAAAACAAAAAAATTGCCGAAACGTATACGGAAGTTTTTGTGTATCACGTAAAAATGCAAATAAAATAGAATTATTGAAGTAATCAAATAAAACAGGTGCATACTGTGAAAAATAACACCCTCAACATTATTTGTTTATACAATCTTTACAAATGCTGTTACTTTGTAAAAAGGAAATTGTACGAAGGAACTTCACAAACAACAATCATCAGCAAAAAAGTTGCTGTCAGCGCTCTCTACGCTCACTTTCCGCATTAACGGCCAAAAGCAATCGCTGCTCGTGAAAGAGTCCCCCATTCAATAATTGTGTGTTGCTCCATCAACACCGCTTGCTCGGATAGTTTGTGTGTGTAGTGTTTTGTATATACAAGAAAAAGCCTAAAATAAATGAAAATCTTCAAGTTTCAACTCGAATCGAATGTGAAGAAATTAAAGTGAAAATTAAAGAGTGCTTTTTGTTTTTCTATTTTCTATGTGCTAAAAACAAACATAATTGCATAAAATCTAAAAATATAATTTTTGAAAGACTGAATTGCAACCGAAAACGTACACACGAAAAATACTTCGCCAACTTTTTCAAAAAAGAAGCAAGCAAGCGTTTATTAAAGGAATTTGGCAAAAGGAGAAATATAAGGTAAGGAATGGAGGAATGGCGAGAGGACGAGCGCCCATAGTAAAACCTGCACTATTTGTGGTACGAAAAACGTATTTCTGTGCAGAGCAGGGGATGTGGGTGGGTAGTGACGGTTGGTTGGTTGGTTGAAGTAGTGAAGTTTTAAATTTAGGCATCAGGCATTAGGCATGGCATACGATATGAGCTGAGCAAACATATTTAATGTGCGTGAAGTGTCTTTAATTTTAGCAAAAGTAGGCAAGAATAATATTTCTTTTGAAATGTTGACCGCTGGTGTGGTATGATATGG